ATAATTGAGTAAGATTGTTTCATTCATTAATGTCTGCTCATTGCTATTACATCTAGTTCTTCATTCAACTCTAAAAACATAATTGCATTGGTTATACATTCCTGTGATCAAGGATCAAGAATGAACATTAATAAAAAAAGTTTCATTTAAACTCATTGATGTGATTGAAGCATTTTAATAAAGATGTATGACAAAAATGTCTTGATATTTTCAGAATTTTACTTGATGAAATCATGAACATGTTTAACTTAAAACAACAAACATCAATAGAGAATTTAGTTTAGTTGTGTTTTTGGAAGTTCAATTGTATTTTATTGAAAAGGAATATCCTTCCCAAAACAAGATACATTTAACAAATGAACAAAATATATTTTAAGATAACGAAATAAGTATTTTCCAACATCATATCACAGGTTTTCAGGAGTGTATTTACTTACAAACTAAATATTTACCCAAATGCTTTAATATTTAAAATGTTAATCTTGAATAAAACTGGAAATTTATATTTATATATTCAATGTTTAGGCAATTTACTGTTCCAACAGATGTTGAAAAACAAACCATTGCAAACATATGATTAAGAATGTAACAATTCAGCCATGTTTATTTGAATATGCTGCTATTCAAGGTTCAACGTAGACTTTATTGCAAAATTTAGCCAAGTGTCTGTCTTCAAAGTATTGGTGACACTAAGGATAGACATTCCCTGCTATTTATGTATTACAAATAGAGGGGAATGGGCATACAATCACCTACCCAGCTATAGCTTTGTCCTATGTATGCCCATTACTTTACCAATTTTGGTAATGGGACTTATTTGTAAGACAAGAAAAATACATCCAAGCCAATAATTAATAGCCTATTCCAATAGCATATTTGGAGTGTGAATCCTGAAAAATGTTGTGAAATTCCAATTTTTCATGCTTTGATTCTAAACTCTGAACTGTGAGGTGTCATAGGGGCTAAGGGGATCCTTTCAAACATTGGAGTTATTGTTCCCTCCTTTTTCCAAACTCACTTCCTCCGAAAATGTACCTCCCTTCTTCCTCTGCCCTTTAACCTCTCCCAACCCCCATCCCTCGTCTCTCTCTTCAGATTCCACTCATCAGGAGAATGGCAAACTGATGGATAGTCATTGATCATTTCCCACCCAAAAAAGGTAAATTTATTAATTTTTTTGGTGTGAGTGGGGTGTGTGTTCCCCATCTTTTCTCACACAGAGAGTAGACCCCACCTCTAGCACCCAGCCCCTGTGTGTGCTGTGTACCCTGTCTCTACCACAGAAGGCTCCCCTTCTCTCCCCCTCCAGAAACAGGGTCTATCCACTGCATGCATGACGTTCCAGCTGTGTGGGTGGCACTGCCTTTTACAGCGTCTCCAGCAGTATGGAGACTGGTTCTGAAGCTCAGTGCGACAGAAAACATCTTAGACTGACAGTTTCACCAGGCGCTTGGGAGTGTTGCTTTGGAATGTAGTCATGGTTCAACTGGTGAAGTTGGGTGAGAAGTGTTTGTGCAGCATGTAAAAATTTTCAAAAGTTCATACAACAGACTGTGTAATTGACCAAAGGATAGTAGATCATTATAGGAGTAACTGGTAATGCAAGTGCATTATATTTTATTTTGAACTTGTTTTCAGTTTAGCCAATCCCATTACATTTATATCCACCATCCAAAGCAAAATATGAAGAACATCATACTGGTAATTACATAAATCAACATTGTTGAGATCTATCTTCTTGTAAGAATGGCATTTTACATTTAAAAAAACATCCCACTCAACCTATGGCTCTTCGGTGTTCACCACAATTGTTTTTCTTTCCACTGGGTGACTGTTTTAGAGTCCAAAGGATGAAAACTCAACCCCATTAACTGAACATCAGAGGAATTCCTCACTTTACGTACTGAATGCCCTCAGGGTCAGAGGGGAATCCACCCGCGCCCGGACAGGCAAACCTTATTTAAACAAGCCTGGAATTCCAGGCTGGAGGACAGGACGGAAGGGGAGAGGAGGGGGGAGAAACCTCTGCCACTAGCATGAGCCACTGCCAGCACATGCATGCACACTTTTATAGTTGGGTAACAACCATTTTACTATAGTACCTGAGTTTGCAGAAGTTATGATAAAGGCCTACAAAATACTTTGTAATATGTTATTACTGAATAATAAACATGCTTATTCTGTAATTATGTAACATACATTTTTCATTGAGTATGATTTTCCTTCTGTTTTTGACCATAATAGGCTAACATGAGCGATGTCAAAACAGGTCTCCTTGGCAGATAGAAAATAATGATTTGGCTGAGATAACTTTACGCGACCGGGAGACCCATGGGGCGGCGCACAATTGGCCCAGCGTCGTCCAGGGTAGGGGAGGGGAATGGCCGGCAGGGATGTAGCTCAGTTGGTAGAGCATGGCGTTTGCAACGCCAGGGTTGTGGGTTCGATTCCCACGGGGGGCCAGTATCAAAAATTTAAAAATGTTGCACTCACTGTAAGTCGCTCTGGATAAGAGCGTCTGCTAAATGACTAAAATGGAAGAGTAAATCCCTTCTCAATCTACTCAGTGGTTGGCTAGTTCTTGGGCTGCCCTTGTACCTGCCTGTCTTAGCTGAGGATTCATGTGAAAGGGACTTAAGGAACCCTACATTCCAATGGTGGGTTGACTTCTTATTTTAGGACACCCAGCTTGGCGAACCGTGTTCCAGATGACATGCTACAATCCCAATGGCTCCGGTGGAATCGTCTAACTGGGGAAAACCATTGGATTCTCTGGCCAATACGTGACGAGGGGCGGACACTGGGAATTCAAAAGCCCCGGTCTTTCGCCCTCTCTGCCTTGACCTCACTGACCCTTCCCAACCTCCAATGTCCTGGAAGCCCTCTACCTCCCTACCCCCACCACCTTTAAATCTGGGCTCTTTCTTTCTCCCACCAGCACCCCCTCTACCTCTGTCAAATGGTACAGAATTCCTCACCACATTTGCTAGGTGTGAGCCTTTTGATTGATATGGATTTTGTAGTAATTCTGATGTTAGAAGTGGGCAGGGTGGTTGCGGTTTCAGTAAGCTTGAAATGTCAGCCAGGGGACTGTAATGATCGATGTCTTCTGGTAATTCAACCTCGTGCACACATGGATTGTTTTGACAGCCCACCATCCTCCAACAGCATATTCAGATCCTGGCCAAATTCATTTGAGGACAGATTTTGAATAGACAAAATGCACCATCTTAATTCCCACTGTCCTATTTTGGTAGACAAGTGTAACCTGACCAGAGGAGGTGACTCAGCGGTTTTGCCACCCATCGCCACGCTGGTCCAGTGGCCTTTCACACTGTGCTCTATAGAAATCCCTGACTCAGCATCTTTGGTGCGACACAGAGGCAGCCATTTTCCCACAGAAGCTAAAAAGGCTCCTCCATGCTAGAGAATTCCATCACTCCTTTGACGTGCAGCAGATTCCCTGGTGGACCTAGTCTAGAGCAATGAAAACAGAGCAGAAAAGCATCTTTAAAACATAGAATGATACTCCCAAAGTCTGTCAGATGCTCCACAGGGGCAAAACATACAGGTAACATACTGTACCTTTCAGATCATGGGACGCACACAAAACACCCAACACACCTCTTTCACCATACAGACCAGTGGTTCCCAACCAGGGGTACTAGGATCCCTGGGGGTACTTAACCTATCCACAGGGAGTACTTGAGAAGACTCATGAGACCATAGGCCTACCAGTAAAATACACAAGGGGTTACTTCAGGGGTACTCGTTGGTGGTACAGTAACCGAAAAAGGTTGGGAACAACGATACAGATCATACAGAGCTTTAAAACCAATCAGCAGACACTTTCAGCAGTGTTCAAAGTGAGACTATATCAGTATATTGTTTTAGGGTTTAGAAATAAAGGGCCACAGCATCTAAAACATTATCTTGTGGGATCCTAAGCAAATTCTTTGTGAAGCATAGCATATGCATAATTCACATGCAGTGTGGATGAGGGAGCTATTCATATCAGGCTTGCTCATGTCTAGTTTCATTTTCAACCTGCCTCAAGTATCTGACTTGGACTGTGTCACCATCCAGTGGTACATCTTGGAAATGCAGTCATTTTCATAACATAAGGGCATTTTGCTCATATTTTATCTAATGAAAAACTTATTTCAAATGTCTATTACTTATTCAAAAACAGAGTATTCTGAATATAAACTACCAGTAACATTGGCCTCATCACACTATGAGTACAACTGAATTTATCAAACATTATCCCCTGATAATGTAGCTAGTGCGAAAGAAAGTAATATATCAAAAGGTCTCAACTTCCTACCAGAGTAACTGATACAGAACCCATACCAGCGTAAGTTGAACAATGAGCCTGATATGACTCCAACGTAAGCCTGTAGAAAATGAGACGGACACAGGAGCCGTACAGTTAGAGTCATGTTTATTTACAGTAGAATCCTGACATGGGGGGGAAAGGAACAGGGAGGGGTTTAAGAAGACAAAATATTTTAGATTCAGCTCATTAAAGTCCATGTTTCACTAAACAGTTCTTAATTTATTCAACTTTTTGTATACAGAATCCATTCAGCTGTAATGGCAATGCACCAAGAGCTAGAGCCAGTCCTCTGCTGCAAGTGAGGAGAGGAAAGGAAAGTATCAAATGGGAAACCTAAACCTACAGCACTAAGAAAAAAAGAAAGAGAAAAAAAACTAATACAAAGGGGATAAAAAGAAAGATCTTCCATAAAAAATGAAAACATCAATTGTTCTTCAATTTTTTTATCACCATGATCGTCATCGTTTTTGATATTTTCTTTGCCAAGTCCATAAAGAGGCAGAGGGGACAGGGATGGGTTTTTTGTAGTTACATGAAGTCCATGATGTTTAGGCCGTCCGACAGTGGTCTGTCCCACAGCCAGATAATGTCCAGGTAATGATCAGCCAGAGTGAAGTCAGGGCTAAACAAGTCTCAAAAACCTGCCAGGTGGCCTGTTGGGTCAGAACTGTTCAGAGTCCTCCAGACTCCTGGCCTTTGTCCATGTAACTTTCCTCTGTGCAGCCTTGCTGGCAAAGCTCAGTGCCTTGGTTTGGGCCAGCAGAGAGTCTCTGAGCTGCAAGTGCCCTGTTGATGCAGTCTGAGGAATGACACACACTGTACACTTGACATGCAAGGCCAGAGAACCAACATAAAAAAAACAGGTAAAGAAAACAACCCAAGACAGGAAGCCAGCAAACTGCATGTTCCATCCAAGTCTCGCTCTCCCTCGGATTCTCTCGCTCTCACACACTTTAATTCCAGTATTGTTCAAGCTATGATCTAACTGACAAGCACCACAAAACTGTGGGAGGAATGACAATCCAAAAACTGCGGTGATACTAAACCGTTGACAGTAAAAACTAGCTATGGGTTAGTTTGAACCTCTCAGGGTCCATTGATTACAATCCTTTATTAAGCTGAATCCCTCAGGGGCGTAATAGAGACTTCCTCTCTCAAGGTCCATTAGACATTATGGAGGTAATGCTATATGATCACACACACACAGAGAAACAGACACACCTCCAGGTACAGCCATGGCACATGTCGAGGGTATCTAGGGGTTTCCCAATGTCCATTCTGTCACTCGTGGGAGGAAACGTGTACACAGGGAAACCTCCCCTAGTGTGACTAACCTTCCAGAACAAAGCTGTGATCCAAGTCAGACTTGTCACTCCACAAGTCCTCATTGTCGATGCCTTTTATACCTGTGCTGGATCTAAAACATTATTAAATTGTTCATAATAATGAAATAACACAATCTCGCATTCTATGCTCTCTCACACACACACACACACAAACAACATGACACCCAAATATGTGTGTACACATATTTACAAAGAGAGATGCGTCCCCATCAATAGTAGGGACACATTCACAATTTATAATGCATAATTTCTGTATATGCCAAGAATAAAATATTTTCTAAATAAAATACATGTTTCTGTGATGGGGCAGCAAATGAGAGAAGGTGGGGAGGGGGGAGATTGTTAGAGAGGGGGAGGGGGGTTGAGGGTGTAGAGGAAAGAGAGGAGAAGTGTTCTGGGGACAGAGGGGGGAGATGGATGGCAGAGACAGAGGGAGGGAGAGACTGATTAACCATTCCTTCTCTCTCCCGTAGGCTGCTGGTCCTGTGCACTGATGTCAATTGTCCTGCGTAGTGGCAGCAGCAGCTATGCCTACTCTCTCCGCGGTTCATACCAAATCATTCCAGAATAATAATATGATTCATGATGAAGACCCAGTCACGTCCCACACCCAGTAATCCATATAGGGCGAGACCTGGCCTTGGAGTCCGACAGAGTCAGTGAGAGAAAGAGAGAGAGAGAAAGAGAGAAAGACCAAGAGCGAAAGGAGAGAGGGAGAGGCCTAGCAAAATGGAATGGGCCATGGAAAGGGAGGGGGGATAAAAAAGTATGGAATATAGAGAGGAGTGGAAAAAGATGGACAGGAATTGTGAAAAAAGGAAGTAGGAGAAAGAGGAAATGGAGAGACGGAGTAAGAAGAAAAAGAAGCAAAGAGGAGTTGTCTGGCAATGAGGTCCACACAATGGTGTCCATATGAGAGGTCTGCTGCTCAGAGGATGGGTGGAAAGAATGAACGAGTGATGAGGACAAGGCCTCTCTTCAGTGCACGCTCTTCCTCTCACTCTTCTCTCATGGTCCTCCCCACACTGGCTGTGTTCCCAGGGTGCATCATACCTCCAGGAAGCGGGAGCTGCTGGCCTTGGTGTGGAAAGGCTCTGACCACATGCGCCGCAGGTCTCCCTGTAGGACACACCAGGGTTAGATTCCCAGTAACTACTTTAGTACCACACCACTGACTCCCATCCTCACCCACAGATATCACCCATCTTGACCTACTCTACCACCGGTACGACACACCCAGTGTTAGAAGCTAACCACTAGCCTAGCGGCTCCCATACCACATCATATCCTCAACAGCTACATCCATTACCTCTGGTCACTGGCCTGGTGTCCTAACTGCCTTGATCCTGGATTACTCCTCTAGGCATCCTCTACCACTTAAGCACTGCCTCGATTGGTTGATCTCAGTCACTAGGCAGGTTTCCATTGACCCAGGTTTATTTCGACAAAAGCAATGTCACAACACATTGTGACATGTGTAATGGAAACGGCAGCTATAGGAGAAATGTTCTAAAGATCGTTTGACAGGGGCGGCTTTTTCTTTTGTCCAACTTTATTGCGTCAAATGACGATGGAAACTGTGTTTTTCAAGTAAATGATTGTATTTTTAAGGTACGTGGGGAACGTGATGTAATCATCACTCCATATTTAATTCTAAATGACTACTGCTTGCTAAATACATTTTTCCAACTATAATAATATTTTTTTGCAGGACAAGGATTGTCCCGACTTTCAAGAATGCCTGAATTGCTTTGCCTTGCTTATCTGGTTGGCTGAATGCAAGTTTTACCATCCAATTATTTAAAGATCTACAGGAATGCAAGTTTCACCATGGCATGGACCGTGGCGATACGTTGGTAGGCTACCTGAGACATGAAACAGATAGGTGGGAGGGCATACAGGCTGTCGCCAATTTATCAATGCGCAATTCGCCTAAATGGATCATAGAAATGCTATTTTTATTAGACATTCTAGTTTTTTGGGGCAAAAAAAGTGTTTTTCTTTTGTGGGATGTCATTACGTCCAGCTGTTTTTATCTCACAACAGAAAGTTAAATGGAAATGCATTGTAGTAGGCAATTGCAACTATTTTCTATGCAAACTTTCTAAATGTCGACAAAACAATCTCTGGACAATTTAATGGAAACATAGCTTCTGACTGTCAGCATTCAGTCAAAACACATTTATACAATAGCAGTCCTGCTATTTTGTCTGACCTCTTAACTTACTTAAATGACTGACCCCATCATATTATCCCCCCCCCCCCCCCCCCCATATGTACCTTCAGGTAGGCCATGGTGAGCAGAGGCAGCAAGGTGAAGGGCACCAGGTAGAGCAGGGCAGGCTGAGCCGCGCGGTGGATCCTGGAGGCCACAGTTGCAGTCAGCAGGCCTGGAAGGAACAGAGACAGGTCAGAAACACTCCAGTCAAACTTCTCATACTATGGAGTTTAAGGTAGAATAAGCAATATGACATTGTGTACAGAGGGAGGCTTCCCTGTAGTGCATACAGAATAAAACTACATTCAAAATCAGCCAAGAATGCCACTATTGTTGTTGAATTCTCTAAGCTTGAAGTCGCCTCCCTTTATATGATGTCATATGGTGGATTACTGCCAATAGTCTAGTTAACCAGGCAACTGCGCTCTCTACAGACTGGTTCAACAAGTCAGAATGTGGTTGTGTGGGCTGCCCAACCCTGTTCCTGCAGAGCATCTGTCCTGTTCGTGCCAACCCTAATCTAGCACACTTGATTCTAATAATTAAAAGTAGACTTTGGGTCCAAAAAACATTCCAACTCCGCCTCTGTCAATTGTCTAACAGAAATGGGGTGTGCCTTTGGTGGTTCATCGATGTGTCATTCTGGTCATGCGCGCTGTGACCGAAGTAGCTAGTTTGTTAGCTAAGCTAGCCAATGTAGCTAGCCAGTAACTCCACCAGTATGTGATGATGTCATTTCACAGGATTTGGTTTTGGATAGAAGCTGTAGAGATCAGTAACAAATGGCACTTCTGTAGCCAAAAATCTTATTGATCTTTTTGTTGTTGTTTTTAAGCATTAAATTACCTGGTATGATGGTGCACTGATCAGTTATACAGTTTAAAGCCATTATTTTTGGTGTTTTTGCCCAAAGTCTACCTTTAACTTGGTTGATAAGCTGAATCAGGTTAGTTACCTACTGAGGTTGGAGCGAAAACCTACTGGAGGGTAAGCTCTCCAGGGACAGGTTTGGACAGCCCCGTGTTACACGATGGTCCCTCCCGCCTCGATCTCTCACTCTGTCCTTACCCACAAAGTATCCGATGAGAGTGCAGTGGAAGTAGGAGACGCGCCCCATGCGTCCGGGCGTGCCTGGTCCCCCAGCCTCCCCGCTGGCCTGCTTCTTGTAGTTGTCATAGCGCAGCACAAAGCACAGCAGCAGGCCCGGCATCACGATGTCCCCGATCCCCAGCATGGAGAAGTGACTGCCCGTGGAACTGTAGGGAGAGAGGGATGAGATATAGGGAGAAAAGAGGGAGGGAAAACAGACAACCAAAACATGGTGAAGGGCAGGATGTAAAGACAGAAGGAGAGGAGGGGGGGGGGGGTGAGAGAGGAAGAGGAAATGCAAGCTTGAGCTTCAGAGCTCATAAGAACAGCAGAGGTTAATCAATACAGCTGTAGTGAATGGAGTTGGAGGTTTAAACATAGATCCACCCCCCCCATGGCAAGGCTGTGGTACCTGGGGAAGACCAGTTTGCCGGGCAGGGACAAGCGGGGGACGTCGCGGCCCATCCCAGGGCCCAGGTGGAGCTTCCTGGACAGCACGTCTAAGGGGTTGTCAGCCGGCTGGGTGGCCACCTTCACCATCACGTTGCTGTTGAAGATGTAGGCTGAGAAGAACACCTGCAGGACAGACAGAGGAGTCATCTACGGAGGCTCAAGTGATCCTTAGAAAATAGCCACATTTGTAGTTCTGTCTTGAACATGTAGTCTAACCACGATAAATGTGGTAGAATAACAGAGATGGCCTTTTAGGCTCTACCATGGTGTACAGCGGAGATAACCAGAAACTTCTACTAATCAGTCTATTCCCTGCTCTGCTCTGTCCACCTCAATAAACATAAGAGACCTCGAACAGCGGCACTTGCTGTACCTTAGGTTTTCACACATACAGTGAGGGAAAAAAGTATTTGATCCCCTGCTGATTTTGTACGTTTGCCCACTGACAAAGACATGATCAGTCTATAATTTTAATGGTAGGTTTATTTGAACAGTGAGAGACAGAATAACAATAAAAAATCCAGAACAACGCATGTCAAAAATGTTAGAAATTGATTTGACTTAGTACTTGGTGGCAAAACCCTTGTTGGCAATCACAGAGGTCAGACGTTAAGGTTTCGAGGCTGACGTTTGGCAACTTGAACTTTCAGCTCCCTCCACAGATTTTCTATGGAATTAAGGTCTGGAGACTGGCTAGGCCACTCCAGGACCTTAATGTGCTTCTTCTTGAGCCTCTCCTTTGTTGCCTTGGCCATGTGTTTGGGTCATTGTCATGCTGGAATACTCATCCACGACCCATTTTCAATGCCCTGGCTGAGGGAAAGAGGTTCTCACCCAAGACTTGACGGTACATGGCCCCGTCCATCGTCCCTTTGATGCTGTGAAGTTGTCCTGTCCCCTTAGCAGAACCCCCCCCCCCAAAGCATAATGTTTCCACCTTCATGTTTGACGGTGGGGATGGTGTTCTTGGGGTCATAGGCAGCATTCCTCCTCCTCCAAACACGGTGAGTTGAGTTGATGCCAAAGAGCTCCATTTTGGTCTCATCTGACCACAACACTTTCACCCAGTTCTACTCTGAATCATTCAGATGTTCATTGGCAAACTTCAGACGGGCATGTATATGTGCTTTCTTGAGCAGGGGGACCTTGCGGGCGCTGCAGGATTTCAGTCCTTTACGGCGTAGTGTGTTACCAATTGTTTTCTTGGTGACTATGGTCCCAGCTGCCTTGAGATCATTGACAAGATCCTCCCGTGTAGTTCTGGGCTGATTCCTCACCGTTCTCATGATCATTGCAACTCCACGAGGTGAGATCTTGCATGGAGCCCCAGGCCGAGGGAGATTGACAGTTCTTTTGTGTTTCTTCCATTTGCGAATAACCGCACCAACTGTTGTCACTTTCTCACCAAGCTGCTTGGTGATGGTCTTGTAGCCCATTCCAGCCTTGTGTAGGTCTACAATCTCAACCCTGACATCCTTGGAGAGCTCTTTGGTCTTGGCCATGGTGGAGAGTTTGGAATCTGATTGATTGATTGCTTCTGTGGACAGGTGTCTTTTATACAGGTAACAAGCTGAGATTAGAAGAACTCCCTTTAAGAGTGTGCTCCTAATCTCAGCTCGTTACTTATGTAAAAGACACCTGGGAGCCAGAAATCTTTCTGATTCAGAAGGGGTCAAATACTTATTTCCCTCATTAAAATGCAAATCAATTTCTAACATTTCTGACATGCGTTTTTCTGGATTTTTTTGTTGTTATTCTGTCTCTCACTTTTCAAATAAACCTACCATTAAAATTATAGACTGATAATTTCTTTGTCAGTGGGCAAACGTACAAAATCAGCAGGGGATCAAATACTTTTTTCCCTCACTGTATAGTAAAATTGGCTAAATCTCAAACTGAACATTTGGACACTAAGCCCTTTATTGAGTGGCCCTTGTGTTTGATAGTCATCACTCGAGCCTGCAGGTTTTGACACGATACACACTTGACGTCCATTTGCGAGCATCGTCTCGCGCGACCTGTCTTGTAGCATGACTCGATATGAAACATGGGCAGACACGCATACTCCGATAGACAGTGAGAAAGTAAAAACTTTATCTCTAGCTACTCATGCACAAAATATGTGGAAGTATATTGGTTTCATGAGCCAATTTAGCTGGTAGTAACCTGCCTGATGTTAGCTAGATTCACTAACAAATACAAGGGTTGGAATGGAATTTAAGCTAATGTTAGGTAAGGATTTTAGGCACCGCTGCAATGGTAAACAGCATGTAGCTTGGATGTCACTTATTTACGATAGTTTGACAGCTTGCTGATGAAGTTGTACACATGTTCTTAGCAATCAGTCCATACTTCACCATGTTTCCAAAGCACCAATCGCTACGTTGTAACTGAATCAGCTCAGCTGAGCGTCGTGGGCGCAGCAGCTGCTGACTCGATACTGCACTGACTCGGAGAAGAACAGACAGTTACTGCTTCATTAAAACTTATTAATTGTGATAGAATAACGTTACTAGCTAGCTAACTAGATGTATTTAGTGTTGCACTAGCTGGTAAGCTTTGATATGACGTGACTGGCTCAGGCTTAGCAAGAGAATGGACAGGTTTTCGTGTACATTATCAAATGTCAGAAATACTGCTTCTTCAAGCACAACTCCTTAGCTAGATGTAAAATTGTGTGACTAAGACCGTGGCAAAAACTTCAAAATTAATTCATCTTCATTTATTCTGATTTTTTTTGGGGGGCAAAGTAGTAGTAATTATGTTTTTACTAGGTAACGCGCTGAGATTCATGGGAAGAACGCACAGTATGCCACTCGAAAAAGAGGCTTCCGAAAGGTTCAGTGGAGGCCTCGATGGCTCGACAACTAGCGTTTCAGATGGACTCGATTGACTCGTGAACGCACACGTCGAGTGATCTAAGTATTCAGTTTGAGATTCAGCCATTGTCTACAGCTGTGGTGTGGTCCTTTGTGTTTCGTATCTGAGGACTCATGGCCCTGCCTGTGTTTTAGCTGTTGTATTTGGGTCAGCTGGGTGGAGGGAGGAATGGGAGCGGCTATCTTACCCAGAATACGTCATAGATAAGCAGCCCTGATAGCAGCAGGCAAGACACCTTCAGACTGGGCAGCCGCACAAACGCTATCATGGCCACACACAGCCCCATGGCCAGAGCTGAGGAGAAAGACAGAGGAATATCAGAAATATGAACACACAAAGCTCAGAGAGGAAGAGAGGAAGACAGACACACAGTGCTGAGAGAGGAAGAGACACACAGTGCTGAGAGAGGAAGACAGACACAGTGCTGAGAGAGGAAGACAGACACAGTGATGAGAGAGGAAGACACACACACAGTGGGGAATATCAGACATGAACACACACAGCTCAAAAACACATGTAATGGAGCTCAGAGAGCGAGACACACGAGATTAGAGAGAAACTAAAGAAAGGCAAACCTTACAATGGCAAGACAATCTGACATGCGTTGTTTACACCCCCCCACCAGACACACTGACATACCGTCCATGAGCAGCCAGTGTCCAGTGAGCACCCAGATCAGCACCAGCATGACAGAGAGGGAGAAGGAGAGGAGCTCGGCCAGAGTGAAGCGCCCACAGCAGCCAAACGAGATCCTACAGGGGGGCAGAGCGAGAGAGATGGTTTATACACACGGGACAAAACACAATCACTGGAAAATACATGATCTCCTCTAAACACAGGGTGTATGGGGTCAAAAGTGTAAATACAGCCAATTTGAGTCAAAATGTGTTCAATACACACACACACGGGGGTTTACACACACACACGGGGGTTAAGGTTGAAGAATTCTGATTAAGCTGAGAAATCTAAGGCCCGATGCTTCACATTGTCAAACATAAAAGGCGAATTAAAGACTTGTCACATGATTGTTTTTTGGCCATGGCAGCCTCTCAGCTTCCTTACTTGTTTTGTGGGGAGCAGGGTCTGGTCAAGTACTGGCACATCGGCAAAAGGAGGAATGCAAATGCAATTGTCGCAAGAACTGAAGAGGGACAACAAAGAGGAAGATAGATAAGTGAACTAGACAAAGATATAGCAGCCAGACAGTTTGTTTCTGTCCATTGGTTTCAATCAGTTTAGCAGAGTCCTAATCATTGTCATCATAAGAATTAGAGTTGGGCGGTATCCAGATTTTCATACCGTCTTTGTACCCTACAGGGGTATACAGTATTACTGAATGTGGACACTAGGGGCACTATTTTATAAAATAAAAAACAGGGATCTTGATCCAGGAGGTGATTGAATGACTCTACTGTAACCAAGAAGCTTGATCTTGACATCTAGCCACTTAGCTAGCAAGTTAGCAAACCAAATGGATAGCTGGAGCCCTGAGCTGGCTATAATTTATTTGACACATCTTAGATTTCTTAGTTATACTTAACTTATAGTTGTGGTCCTCTGTAGCTCAATTGGTAGAGCATGGCGCTTGTAACGCCAGGGTAGTGGGTTCGATCCCCGGGACCACCCATACGTAAAAATGTATGCACACATGACTAAGTCGCTTTGGATAAAAGCGTCTGCTAAATGGCACGCCCACCCCCCCAAAAGATGATATTGAAAATCATACCATCGGTATTTCAAAATATACCGTTTATACCGTATACCGGGGTATCGCCCAAGCCTAATAAGAATTATGCAGAGAATAATGTTTCTGTTAAATCAATGCAGGACCTGCATTTTGCCTCATTATGACGCCAACCTCTAAGAAAAAAAAAAAATTAGTGTAAGCTTGCCTTTAGGCAAAAAGAGCAAGAAATTGCTCTGTGACATTATGGCGTGTGTCTGTGTGCTGTGTGAGGAGTCGGGTACCTGCGGTACAAATGGTGAAGACCACCTGGACAGAGTCGAAGAAGAAGAACATGACGAGCAGCGACACGGAGGCTCCTATGGGCAGGAACAGAGCCTGCGTGGAGTCTATAGTCTGAATACCTACAAGACAACACACAATACATGCACAAGTGAGAATGCTCAAACACACAGGGATAGAGAAAGACACAATCACACAAGCACACACATTTCTGCATGTGCTGCATCTACAGCCTGGATAACAGCAAACCAACCAACCACTAAATATACGGAATCCACGGTATCACGACTTCAAACTTGTAAACAAAAAAGAAAAAACACACGCTCTGTATGTCTTATGTCTCACCAAATATGTGAGACTCACTGTTGTTTGTGTTGCCATTGTTGAAGGCCCCATTCGGGACAGGGTTACCATCCTTGTCTTTCTCCTGGTTCTCACAGTCCATGTTTAATGATCTGCATGGGGAGAGATGGAGGGAAAGGTGGAGAGAGGTTGACTATCTGAAATAAATCAAGCATCTCTCACATTGCTATTCTGTTGAAGACTTGTTTTAAAATGACTGGATAGCTCAACATAGGCGCTCACTGTAATGGAAGTAACATGATAAAGAAGATGAGACCCAGTGACCAGTGTTGGCCTATCTGTGATGTAAGAAGGTTGGACAGGGTAGACTGACCTGAAGCTGCCATAGACGATGAGGAGGATTGAGATGAGGAAGGTGGACACCTGGCTGGAGTCAACCAGGGAGTACGCCCTATAGACAGAGAGAAAGATTTTAGATTCCATTTCCTCCACAGACTAGATTTCAGCAATAAGGCCCGAAGGGCTGTTCTTATGCACAACGCAACGTGGAGTGCCTGGATACAGCCCTTAGCATTGGTATATTGGCAATATACCAGAAATATCCGAGGTGCCTTATTGCTATTATAAACTGGTTACAAATGTAATTAGAGCAGTAAAATAAATGTCATACAGTCTGATATACACAGCTTTCCGCCAAATCAGCATTCAGGGCTCGACCCACCCAGTTTATAATACAGAGTAACACATAGTATACCTTCAGTGTTGCATATCTCAACAAAGGGCTAATAATCGCAAGGTCGGGAAGATAGACGATAGTCCAACATTGGCCACTACAAAACTCATGTGGGTGTATCCAAGCACTATGCAGATTAATAATAATAAACTATAAGAATGGCATAACAGTCAGAACAGTACAGCTTGACATTGGTCAGTTGCGTCATAAGACTATAATTAACATTATTGAAGAGTAAATTCTCATTTGTAATCCTGGTGGTCATAATCCCTTTAGTTAACAAACCTTTCAAGAAAATAAATCCCGACACTAAATCAATACATTTTCTTTCTTTCAGCAAGGAGAAAGGAACCCAAAATGAGCATGACATACTAAACTCAGCGAAAAAAGAAAATGCCCCTTTTTCAGGACCCTGTCTTTTAAAGATAATTTGTATAATTCCAAATAACTTCACAGATCTTCATTGTAAAGGGTTTCAACACTGTTTCCCATGCTGGTTCAATGAACCATAAACAATTAATGAACATGCACCTGTGGAATGGTCGTTAAGACACTAACAGCTTACAGATGGTAGGAAATTAAGGTCACAGTTATGAAAACTTAGGACACTAAAGAGGCCTTTCTACCGACTCTGGAAAACACCACAAGAAAGATGCCCAGGGTCCCTGCTCATCTGCGTGAAAGTGCCTTAGGCATGCTGCAAGGAGGCATGAGCACTGCAGATGTGGCCAGGGCAATAAATTGCAATGTCCGTACTGTGAGACGCCTAAGACAGCGCTACAGGGAGACAGGACGGACAGCTGATCGTCCTCGCAGTGGCAGACTACGTGTAACAACACCTGCACAGGATCGGCACATCCGAACATCACACCTGCGGGACAGGTACAGGATGGCAACAACAACTGCCAGAGTTACACCAGGAACGCACAATCCCTCCATCAGTGCTCAGAGTGTCCGCAATAGGCTGAGAGAGGCTGGACTGAGGGCTTGTAGGCCTGTTGTAAGGCAGGTCCTCACCAGACATCACCGGCAACAATGTCGCCTATGGGCACAAACCCACCGTCGCTGGACCAGGCAGGACTGGCAAAAAGTGCTCTTCACTGACAAGTCGCGGTTTTGTCTCACCAGGGGTGATTCGCATTTATCGTTTAAGAAATGAGCGTTACACCGAGGCCTGTACTCTGGAGCGGGTTCGATTTGGAGGTGGAGGGTCCGTCGTGGTATGGGGCGGTGTGTCACAGCATCATCGGACTGAGCTTGTTGTCATTGCAGGCAATCTCAACACTGTGCGTTACAGGGAAGACATCCTCCTCCCTCATGTGGTACCCTTCCTGCAGGCTCATCCTGACATGACCCTCCAGCATGATAATGCCACCAGCCATACTGCTCGTTCGGTGCGTGATTTCCTGCAAGACAGGAATGTCTGTTCTGCCATGGCCAGCAAAGAGCCCAGATCTCAATCCCATTGAGCACGTCTGGGACCTGTTGGATCGGAGGGTGAGTGCTAGGGCCCTTCCCCCCAGAAATGTCTGGGAACTTGCAGGTGCCTAGGTGGAAGAGTGGGGTAACATCTCACAGCAAGAACTGGCAAATCTGGTGCAGTCCATGAGGAGGAGATGCACTGCAGTACTTAATGCAGCTGGTGGCCACACCAGATACTGACTGTTACTTTTTATTTTGACCCCCCCTTTGTTCAGGGACACATTATTCAATTTCTGTTAGTCACATGTCTGTGGAACTTGTTCAGTTTATGTCTCAGTTGTTGAATCTTGTTATGTTCATACAAATATTTACACATGTTAAGTTTGCTGAAAATAAACGCAGTTGACAGTGAGAGGACGTTTCTTTTTTTGCTGAGTTTAGTTGCTATTTATGCTCAACAGTGTGTTCCTAACTGGTGTTTGTTTTTGGTTTGAGGACTGAATGAAAGTGTCTTTGAAAATGCACAATCAAAGAAGAAGAGAAACCGTAGCCTAACCCTTATTGGCATAAACCTGATGCTTGTGTAGGTTTGTCTTGTTCTAGACACGTTTATTTATGCAATTCTTTATGCAACAAACAAGGCGAAAGTAAACGTACAGATGAGCTGGGAATTGCCATGGACCTCACGATACGATATTTTTACGATACATAAGTGCCAATATTGTATGTATTGATATGTATTGCAATTTGATACTCTGATTTTATTGCATTTCGATGTTACAAACATATTGCTCACCATATGTCTTCTGCAGTGGGACAAGAAAGCCATGAGAAACCAAGTTAAATCAGTCATTCAAATATGTGCTGAAAACAAATTGGCTCCCGATTTAAAAAAGATGGAGAACAAGCTATGAAGGAAAAATACTGGCGTTTTGGTGCAGGTACAAACAACTAGCGCAAAAATAATATTGCGATATTGTCAAAACGATACATCGTCAAAAATAATATCAGGATTTGCAACTATCGATTCCCCCCCATCACTACAGACCAGTAGTGTGCGTTTCATTTAACCTTAATAGGGACACTGGCTATTCAATTGGGAAGGCTGTAGAAGTTGCACAGGAAACGTGTAAATGTCTCAGACATTTAGATAGCTGACTAACGGGCGGGAAGGATGGTGGACCATCTGTGAGCAGCTGCACAGAGACACTGTTACCAATTTAACATTCTAAACCCACAAATATGTAGCTTTCACCTTATCTGCCAGACATGCCTGGCTGACAACTTCTGGTTTCAGAGAGATACTCCTCGGTGGTAGCAGCTTGAGCATGCTTAAAATACGCATACATAAGCTAAAAAATATTCACAAATACACAGAGTTACAAAACCGAGGAGCGCATAAATAAACATACTGAGAAAAGACAAACTGATAGCTGTTCAGTGGGATATAGACTGCCTACATGAATCTCAGCTTTGGGTACTGGGCCATGCTGATGGAAGGCTGAGAAGGAGAAATCTTGACCGGTCAGGTATCTGGCACAGCAAACCTTACCCTACATGTGTTACCAGCCGTAATCAAATCTGTTTGTTTACATTAAAGGTGTGGATTGGATCGGAGGCATGACCTCGGTGTTGTATTCCCATGGCAGGCTAATTATCACTGGTAAAGTTGTAGATCATGTAATAGAGAAAGAGTCAGTGGAAGACTTGTGTTCCACTTCCTGAGATGAAAAATAGTCACACCGGCAGGGCTCTACAGTGCGACCATTTTACTTGCATATGCGCCTAAATATTTTGCTGTGCGACCTGGAAGGAGGAGCACCAAAGCGCCTAGAAAAATTACAGATTTTAGCTTCAATATCTCAAATATGTTTCATTGTGCTCCTAAATTTCAACCTAGGCGCACACGTGCTCCTTGTAAAAAAAAGGTCAGCGTAGAGTCCTGACTGGTTCATCTCTGGGGGTAAATAAGAGCATAATGGCTGCACTGTGTCACCATGCCTTCATCTGAGAGGTGCGGGTTTGACCCCTGGCCTATGACCCCTGACCTCCTGTCTCATCTCCCTCTGCAGCCAGCCCTGAGTGAGAAATGTAGTCTGGGGTTAAGAGGACACACCCCTAAAAATAACAGTATGCGTTCTTCATAACTATACATCCCGTCGCCTGCCGTATGACTGCGCTCCAACCCACCAGATTACACCCCTGGATAAGTGTTAGGAAGCACATGATGAAACGGCATAATTCATAAGTACTTATGAGCTGTGAAGCGTGAACTCGCAAGGTAACATGTCAATCACTACCATAGACATCACAGGGCAAACTAAAAGCTAAAGGATTGCCCTGTTGACAAACATTTTCTCTCAAACACGCTGAAGTGAAATGTTCCTTAGCCTGTTGATGGGCCTGACTGACATCTCCTTTTCAATCAAACCAGGAGATGCAAAACCCACTTCTTGCATAAAATATTCAGATGCAGAGGGGATCTACATCACCACTCACTAGGGATGACCCCATTTAGTCAATTGTTTGGTTGATAGGCTGTTGATCGACCAAGATTTATTTTGTTGAGCAGTCAAATGTATTGTTTTATGGCACATGGGACACCTGTCTGATTCACGCTTGTCTGAGTGGACTAATCCATTGCGGAGGCCGCGGAGATGGCACACCAGTAGTAGGCCTACAATTACAGTTCCCATAATCTCTAATCTACTATGTTTGTTTACTTACGGTAATTTCTGTTAATGCATTCAATATATTATTATTAGTCTTACCGTTCTCATTCTAGGAGTGGACACGTCGTTTGCAGAGAGCACAACCTAGGCTACACTTGTGAGAAACAGGTTTTGGTTAATTTCAGTCCATTTATGAGTTGTCAATTTATTTATTGTCTTTTGTTTGTAGCGCTCCTGTCAATCTTGAGAAAGGAAATGCACCCGATTACGCATAGAAGTAGGCCTAGGCTACCTGGCCTGTGCGGAAATGTAGGCCTATAAATGTGCACATCTGGGGAGCTCATACTATTTCTGATTGTCTTAACTCAACACCAATGTGGAGCGTCTCAAAAGAAAAAAGGTCTTCGCCTCAAACAGCAAGTAAACAAAAGTCTGTTTTTACATCCATTGAGAATCACAGTAGTTCCTCAACGTAGCCCATTTGAAAAATATTTTCAGCTCTCTCCCTTTCGATAACCACTCAGCATGAAAGGGGGAAAAAATGTCATGCTCTGATCCGATGGAAACGTCATAAAATAAGCCTACCTGAATACTTCTTATCCCTTGTGCAAATAGCCTACACAGCTGTTAGTTTCCCACGCCAGTGAGCTCCTGAGGGCCCAAAATATTTTAACGTTTACTAGCACTAGCTTCGGGCTGGCCCAAGTTGATACAACGTTTCAAGTTCCTTGCATACAGGCTATTAGTAGCCAATGTGTTATTTTTTTTTTTTTAAATCAGGATATTGTCTACCTGCAGGCCACAATGTTTTTATTTGTTAGCTTTATGTAGGCTATTTTTACATAGACAATATGAGTTACTTTTAGATTTGTATCATTTTCATTGATATAATTTTACTTAACGACTTGACATTGATTAAAGATATGAAGACTATTATAAATTAAATGAAACGGTTCCACGAAAATGTGCATATGAAAATCATAACTGGCACGCAGATCAGTTGAAATGGTACGATAAATTGGCACTCCAAATGGAAAAGGTTTCCAACCGCTGGTGTAGCCTATTACTAGCAACTTCAGGAGTGTAACGGAAGGCCAGCAGCAGTGGGAGGAGGGTCGGGAACAGGTATTTCCTTCTGGTTAGGCTATATTGATCTCTGGCTCCCTCTTTAGTAATTTGTGTGTCTTCCATATTTAAATCACAGTGCTTAAAGCATCAGACAAGCTCAGTAGCCTACATATAGTTGATTTTATTAAAACATAGGGTGTCTATATGGAAAAATACACGTTTAAACATTTCGACCAATTGACAGATTTTTTTGGGGTCGGGGAGAGCCCTACTACTCACCACTTTCAAAGTGAAATACATATGATAGAAATTAAGACGTCTTGACTGCAGAAGTATTCAAACATCTACTTGCCGTTGGTCTATGCATGACTTCATGGAGGATGCTGACATCAGTGTTATGAGAGTTGAAGCTTACGGAAGTAGCCTAATTCCACAACCCTCGTCCAGCGATCAATGAAAGGCAATAGGGAAAAAGTATATCAAATCTAGCCTATTGCCAATGTTATCTGATGATGTATGACTGAATGGCAACATTGAATGTCCACCGAGTGACTATCTTTGCGCATCAAAAATATGACATCGCCTGCTTACGCGCAGAAGGCATCCATTACACAGGGGATTGGCTACTATGGCACCTTGACAGTCTTGTAGCCAAAGAGATATGCAGTTGACCTGGGTGGGACAAAGCAAGGCCTAGAACCTTTTATGCGTAATGCGAACTATTGCTACCTAGCTCAGAGACGAGACTCACCGAGCACGCTACATTACATTGTAAACAGATTTCATTGCTTTAGCATAAAATATTACTTCTCAAAGGGGGGGGGAAGAGGTAAAAACTAAGAATATCGAACAGGAAGCTAAAAAGAAGGCAGCTATGAATAAGTATACCGACATAGAAGCTTTGAATAAAATACTGGTCGGACTCAGATCAGGGGAGCGATTTAGACCGGCAAAGATTGCTTTCTAGAAGAATTGGATCCACTTTTAGATTTGTAGTAAATTATTTTCTTGACTTTATATAGCTAATTTACTATATGTATTACGTTTTTTTTATAAGTTGTCTGCTTTTTGTGATTTGGATTGAGTTTACATAGGCCTATGTAACAAATAATTTAAATGTTATATAATTCCAAAGTAGTTATTGTCTGTTTCATATTAGTTCACTGTTCTAAGTTTCATCCATGTAACTTTGGAGAAGTGACTACAGTGAGGGAAAAAAGTATTTGATCCCCTGCTGATTTTGCCCACTGACAAAGACATGATCAGTCTATCATTTTAATGGTAGGTTTATTTGAACAGTGAGGAACAGAATAACAACAAAAAAATCCAGAAAAACACATGTCAAAAATGTTATAAATGTATTTGCATTTTAAATGAGGGAAATAAGTATTTGACCCCTCTGCAAAACATGACTTAGTACTTGGTGGCAAAACCCTTGTTGGCAATCACAGAGGTCAGACGTTTCTTGTAGTTGGCCACCAGGTTTGCACACATCTCAGGAGGGATTTTGTCCCACTCCTCTTTGCAGATCTTCTCCAAGTCATTAAGGTTTCGATGCTGACGTTTGGCAACTCGAACCTTCAGCTCCCTCCACAGATTTTCTATGGGATTAAGGTCTGGAGACTGGCTAGGCCACTCCAGGACCTTAATGTGCTTCTTCTTGAGTCACTCATTTGTTGCCTTGGCCGTATGTTTTGGGTCATTGTCATGCTGGAATACCCATCCACGACCCATTTTCAATGCCCTGACTGAGGGAAGGAGGTTCTCACCCAAGATTTGATGGTACATGGCCCCGTCCATCGTCCCTTTGATGCGGTGAAGTTGTCCTGTTCCCTTAGCAGAAAAACACCCCCAAAGCATAATGTTTCCACCTCCATGTTTGACGGTGGGGATGGTGTTCTTGGGGTCATAGGCAGCATTCCTCCTCCTCCAAACACGGCGAGTTGAGTTGATGCCAAAGAGCTCGATTTTGGTCTCATCTGACCACAACACTTTCACCCAGTTCTCCTTTGAATCATTCAGATGTTCATTGGCAAACTTCAGAAGGGCCTGTATATGTGCTTTCTTGAGCAGGGGGACCTTGCGGGCGCTGCAGGATTTCAGTCCTTCACGGCGTAGTGTGTTACCAATTGTTTTCTTGGTGACTATGGTCCCAGCTGCCTTGAGATCATTGACAAGATCATCCCGTGTAGTTCTGGGCTGATTCCTCACTGTTCTCATGATCATTGCAACTCCACGAGGTGAGATCTTGCATGGAGCCCCAGGCCGAGGGAGATTGACAGTTCTTTTGTGTTTCTTCCATTTGCAAATAATCGCACCAACTGTTGTCACCTTCTCACCAAGCTGCTTGGCGATGGTCTTGTAGCCCATTACAGCCTTGTGTAGGTCTACAATCTTGTCCCTGACATCCTTGGAGAGCTCTTTGGTCTTGGCCATGGTGGAGAGTTTGGAATCTGATTGATTGATTGCTTCTGTGGACAGGTGTCTTTTATACAGGTAACAAACTGAGATTAGGAGCACTCCCTTTAAGAGTGTCCTCCTAATCTCAGCTCGTTAACTGTATAAAAGACACCTGGGAGCCAGAAATCTTTCTGATTGAGAGGGGGTCAAATACTTATTTCCCTCATTAAAATGCACATCAATTTATAACATTTTTGACATGCATTTTTCTGGATTTTTTTGTTGTTATTCTGTCTCTCACTGTTCAAATAAACCTACCATTAAACTTATAGACTGATCATTTGTCAGT